CATTATATATATGTATTTTTTATGCTACATTTTATATGATCTCATCATCATTGTCATCATCCCCCACCTTTATTTTCCTTTGTTCTATATATTTATTCAACCTTTATTATATTTTTTTATAATTTCTTTACTTTTAATATGGCGTTGAGTAAAACAAGTACTTCATTAAGTTTTAATTATTATTTGTTGACTAAAGTATACACTTATTAACTCCGTTAATTTTTAGCCTTAAAATTATTTTTACTGAACATCGTAATATCTTAAGGTATTATTTTGTATTTCATGTATACTTTTTAATGTATACTTTAAGGTGTTTATAATATACCATAAAAATTTCTATAAACTATATTTTAACATTAGACTTATGTGTTTAGAGTACAGAAGTAACCTGATAAAAATTATGATAGTGACTCACAAGATTTTAATGAACATCAAGAATTAAAAAATTCTTGTCTGCAGACACCTGTCTCTGTATTAAGCAAAAGTAAAACAAGATTGGAAAAAGTGATCATAATTACCTCTGTGATTAAGGTATTTTGACTACTAATTTGTAGCCTATTGCAAAACATTTTATGAATTATAACTAATGTTAATAAAAAATTACTAGTGCAAGCGTTACGCCTAGAGCGTACGCGTAGAGCTGTTTTGGTTAAGCTACTTTTTTAACTTTTATATTAGCGGTAACATTAAACAAGTAATTAATTTTTAAAAAAACCACATTAACTTTTAAATAACGATATGTAAAGATATTTATTAAAAAAAAGCATTTACTTTAAAAATAATTGTTGTAACTTTTCATCGCGATATATCTTTCCTTTTTATAGCAATTATTTTGACGCTAAACTTTTTATCCAAATATTTAGCAACATAAAAAATTGTTTGTCAATCCTACAAATTTTCAAATTGTCAAAACTACAAATTTTCAAATAGTCAAAACTTCAAATTGTCAAAACTACAATTTTTTTTGCAATGTTGTTAATAAAAAGTAGTAATTTTTTAAAGTTTTCAGTAAAAAACTTTAAAAACATCTATATAACATATTTATTAATACAGAATATAAATGTTTTTTGTAATATAGATTTTTTAAGAATTTTTTACTGAATTTATAATAAAAAACATTTGCAAAAAAATTTGTAATTAAGGTTGACATTTTTTTTAATATCTCAAAAAATGTCTTAATAATTTGTTATCATGTTAACAAAAATATCAAGACATTTTTTCGAGATATTAAAAAAAATGTCTTTGCTTTTCTTATTAGTTAAAGGTATATTTAGGTATATACCTTTACCTTTAAGTTATGCGAGGGGAGGGGGTCGGCACAGAAAAAAAAAATTACCAGTTATTCGCAATATTTGAATAAAGACAATTTGTTAAATTTCTTCTGCGTGCGATTCAATAAGTTTTTTTCATAAATCAAGTTATATTATAAAGTAAAGAAATCACGAGTAGACTATAACATCCGTTGATGACAATAATATTATGTTGAATATATTTACATAACGGAGGTTTCATTATGCACGCGCACATTACAGATTCAGTTAAATAAATACTAAGGCACGTTTTAGTTTAATGACAGTCTCTATTTTTTTTACTAATGAATATGTATTTTTCTTTATAAAACAAGACAAACTAGTATATAAAAACCTTGTATATTTCTATTCTCTCTAAATTGTTTAAAGTTCGAATATAGATTGTATTTTGAAGGACAAAAAATTTACTTTTAAAAACTTTTTAATCTTGAGACTTTACCGATGCGATGATCACAGGAAAAAGAGAAGACTTACGTTATTAAAATCAAATGTAAGTTATGTGATCTTCATCAAAATAAAATATTATCCAAGTACAATGGTGCTGTAAGGGCAACAGCCCAACAGTTTATAAATAACACAAGTCATGTTAAAATGTTTTAACATGTTACTATATTTTAATTAAGTTGATATATAATTAAAAATAAAAATATAGTTCAATATATAAATTAAATTTGTTCTTAACAAAGATTACCTCATATTTATTCTTTTTTTATTTTATTAATGAAATTGCTTACAAACGAAAAAACAAGAGAGTTGTAATTATACGTTGAATGAAAATACTTTTGAGTTTGTTTATAAGTTAAGGAACTTAATTTTTAAACAAATTTTTACGAACGTTCATTATAAATAGATACGATTCAAATTATTAAATATACTTAAATTATTTCAGTTGAGTATTTTTTTAAGTTAGCACGATTAAAGTTTCGCGTAGAAGTATTTGTTTTTTTGTTTTAAGAATAATTAACAAAAGAATAATTAACAAAAGAATTAAGACTTTTATATTTAATTTAATTTTTTTTTTAATTTCCTAAAAATTAAAAAAAAAAAAGATTTAATCGTTAAAAACGATTTTTCTTTATAGCTCTGTTTTTTTGTCATTTGTTTAAAAAGTAAAATATTTTTACAATAACATAAAAAATTTATGAATTAAATTTCTGGCGAACGCGTTCTAAATTTTGTATCAAAAATATGCTCAAAGCAGACAAAACTTTTTTATATTTTTATACAACGCAAGTTGAAACGCTAAGCAAGATAAATTTAAAAAATATTTAAAAACCTAAATTTTTCTTTGCTAGTCAAAACAAAATCGTTGTTTAAATAATTAACATGGGTTTGTGTTTATCAATGTTAATATTTTTGGTATTGTGGTTTATCCTCCTCCGACTAGTAGCCATATAGAGGCCACATTACCAAGGTACCGCAAAGGCAGGTTCGGCTCCCCAAGGAGCGTCATAACCCGCTCTACGGACCAAGAGTAAAGTGAGTTTAGGAAGAACGAAGATATGTTAGAGTGAAAGACAGAAGAAGTCGTGTTAGAAAGATAGCATAGAGAAAGCAGACAGGATTGCACCCGATGTTAGGATGTGCAAAATTCTTAAATTTCTTTAAGTTATTGAAAGTAAGTTAATAAATATAATAATAAATAAATATAAATATTTAAAATTGTCTTTCATTGTTTTCTTCACTTTATTGTCATTTAATAAATTTATATATATGTGTTTCTATGTGTGTGTGTTTATATATATATATATATATATATATATATATATATATATATATATATATATATATATATATATATATATATATATATATATATATATATATATATATACATATATATACATATATATATATATATATATATATATATATATATATATATATATATATATATATATATATATATATATATATATATATATATATATATACACATACATACATACATACATACATACATACATACATACATACATACATACATACATACATACATACATACATACCCACATTAGGGCCATGTGAATCTTCAAAATTTCGAATTGAATCGGAAAAGTGATTTGAGTTTCAAAAAAAAAAGATTCGAGTTATTGAATATTTACTTATTTTCTTTTTGTTGTAGTATTTTTGAATAATTGGGCACTTTTACACTTTAAAAAATACTTTCTTTATTCTTACCAATTGTTAAAAATTGTTGCCAATCGTTAAAAATTGTTACCAAATGTTAAAAATTGTTACCAATTGTTAAAAATTGTTACTAATTGTTAAAATTGTTACCAATTGTTAAAAATTGTTACCAATTGTTTAAAAGGTTAATTACTATATGAAGCTCCAAATAAGAGTTTTTACTATTATTTTTTTTCTTTTGAAATATATAATATAAAGAAATATTTTAACTCATATACCTTAAATTGCTGTTTTGATTCTTGATTCGATTTTTGAATCAAAACCTGCTCGATTTGAGATGCCTTTATAAACTAAATTGAAAATTTAAAAAAAATTAAAAAAGTTTAGAAAGGGGTAAAAATTCCTAACAAACTAACTATAAATATCTATTTAATTTTGAGAAAAGACATTGTTAGTAGAATTCTAAATTTTTAGTTATAGGCATTAAAAACTTGTGTCAGGGAAGGAACGATAGGTTCCTTCCGTGACACAAGTTTTGATGGCTATAACAAAAAAGTTATTATTCCACATGCAACATCTTTACCCGAAATTAAATAAGTTTTTATAGGTAGCATGTTAGGTATTATTGCCCCCTTCTAAACGTTTTTTTTTGAATTTCTAATTTAGTTTATAAAGGTCATTCCTTTTGAAAAAAAAAAGACTTAATCCTGCCCATATGTATATGTATATATATATGTATATATATATATATATATATATATATATATATATATATATATATATATATATATATATATATATATATATATATACATATGTATATATATATATATATATATATATATATATATATATATATATATATATATATATATATATATATATATATATATATATATATATATATATATAAACAAAGAGAGAGAGATACAGATATAGACATCAGGGCCGTACCAGGCCAACTTTGCTCTTCGGGCAAGCAAATGAAATTGCGCCCCCTACCAAAAAAATATACAAAAAACACATTATATATATATATATATATATTTACATGAAAAAAAATTAATTATTGATCACAAAATTTATCGCATCAAGTTAAAAGAACAATATGTTACCAATGTTTCACAAACTTCAGTTTAAGGTCACTTTTCTGGCTTTTTTGGAGGCAAAGTCACTAATGACATCATCAAAATCAAGTGCTTTGGCCGCTTCATGTTCAATTGAAGCTACTGCCAGACAAGACAAACGTTCTTGGCCCATAGTTGATCTCAAATAGTTTTTTATGATCTTAAGTTTACTGAAACTTCTTTCACACGTGGCAACTGTAACTGGTAAGGTGAGGAAGATGCGAATAGCAATTGCCGTGTTAGGATAAGCATCAGTCAATGAGTATTTATGAATGAGCTGCAAAATGTCCATCGGGCTAGATTTTTCAAAGTTTTCCATCATGGCAGCAGCTTTATATTTAAAGCTTGCCATTTCTGACTGGAAATCTGAAGAATCTAAATCTGCCTTGTAAATTTTAGACAAATTTTTGGCTTTAGTCTTAAGTTCATCCACTTAACTTTTGGAGAGAGAATGTCCACTGAGGAAGTCAAAATCTGAGGATACTGCAGACATAGCTTCAAACCGCCACTCAATTTGTGTGAGAATGCTGTCAAACACAAGGTTGCACTGGAATCCGAAATCTGTTTCTGGTGACAAACGGCAAAAGTTATCTTCAGCTTCATAAAGTGCCATCTGCTTCACTTTGCAATTTCTCTTCATAGGAAAGTCTCCTTCAATTCCAATTTGGATAGCTGTTTCTGCAGCAGCTTTGATAATGTTGTCCACCCCAACATCTCTCAGATTCTGAATGGAAGCCTTCAGTCCTTTCATTTTTTTTGCTGCAATGTCAATTGAAATGTTTTTATACTGAAGCAGTTTTCCCGGTCAATTAAAGAAAGAATTTGACACCAAAAATCCAACAAACACAGAAAACTGAAATCAATTTGAATGATGAGCCCTTTTGCACTGCAAACTGAGACAGCATTTGTCTTGGGAGTGTGAATTATGGATTCCAAAACTTGAAGAACTTCTTTAATTTGTCTGTGTAGTGGGGTGATTGCTTCTTTTTTGGCAGACCATCTTGTATCACTATTTCCCTTTAGTGAGATGGTCAATGTTTTCATCAGTTTTTCCCATCTTAAGGTAGAACTTGAGAAAAAGTTAAAGATGGCTTGAACTTTTCCAAAGAATGTAATCATGAGTGGAGAAACTTCAGCAGCATGGACACCAACAAGGTTTAAAGTGTGAGCTGCACATGAAACAAATCTTGCAAACTCATTTAGAGAATAGATGTGAGCTTAGACGCCATTATATTTTCCAGACATATTGGCTCCATTGTCGTAACCTTGGCGCCGACAATCAGAAATGCTCAGGCCATCCTTCTCCAGTTTTTCGGTAATTTCAGCTGCAAGGCCCTTTCCAGTTTTTTCGTGAGATTCAATGAAGTCCACAAAGCTTTCCTCAATTGTACAGATTTCCTCAGTGATGTGGACATACCTGATTATTTGGGTCATCTGCTCTTTGTGGGAGGCATCTGGAGTGCAGTCAAACAAAACAAAGTAGTATTTAGCTTCTCTGACATTTGACAAAACTTCATTCCTGACTTTCTGCCCAAGTAATTCAATCAGCTCATTTTGAATTCGAGGAGAAAAGTAGGATGTTGTGGTTTTCTTTGCCTTAACGGATGCAACGTGTTCAGCCACTAAAGGATAATAATGGCTTATCAGCTCAATTAAGTTCAGAAAGATGCCACTGTTTTGCTCTCCAATTACTTCTGTTAAACCCCGAAGGGCAAGATTGTTCTTGGCACAGAACAAAATTGCATAAACAATCACTTTCAAGATATCTCTCCACTTTTTCATCTCTCCGTTGATAACTCTCTGCAGATCAGAATCCAAGGTCTTTCCTTCCTTGAGATTTTTTTCCAGATTTTTCCAATCAGAATAGCATGTTTGGTGTTCATTGCTGTTTTCGTGTTCTGGAATTCTTGGGTTTAGTTTTTTCCAGTCACAAAATCCTTTTAAAATTTATGAAAAATTGTTTGTTTTTGTCGTTGAAAATAGCAGACAGCAAAAACAAAACAAAGAATCTTTTTTGTTGCTGTACAGCAGCAAGTAGCGAACAAATTTTTTCACCTTTGAGATGAATTTTTTCATACCATTTTGAGCTGAAGTGTCGCATTCTGTTGTCAAAGTCACAAAGTGTGTTTGGGAAAAATTCTCTTCTTTCTTGCTCCGGCCCATGCTGAATCAAAAAGCACCTTGTTTTATCTGTCATTTTAGGCCATGTAGCTGGATCGCTGTGTTGAAAGTTTTCTCCTGAGGTTGCTGAAATTTCTGAGATTTCAGGAGGAAATTCACTGTTGCCCATTTTAATTGGTTTGGAAAGCTGAGAATTTCTATCTTCTTGTGCTTCTGAATCATTTGGTCCAAATTTGTATTGACTTTGTCCAATCAAAATCTCCTCTTCAATTAAATCCAATGGATGATATGAATTTAAGTCAGTAATTAAAGATGTAGCAGCAACTTCAGCTCTTGAATCATTATCAACTTCATTGCAAATATCCTCTGAAATAATTTGTTTTTCCACAGAAGAGTTCTTGAAACAATTTCTTAGTTTTGCGTCACTTTCAAGACGGTCTCTTCTTTTCTTCTTAGATTCAGCACCAGATAATTTTTTTGCACGATTCATTGTAAAAAATAATGTTCAGAAAATACAACTTTTTATTTTTTAATTGCGCTCTTCTATTATTTATTTTTTCTTTTTTCTTTTGTTCTCCCTCTTTATTTTTATTATTATTTGCTTACTTTACTTTCTTTAGCTTACATTTCATTTGTTTCTTTATTTAAGCCGCTTAAATTAAGCGTTCTTTTTTTTAAATTCGAAGTTCTTTTTTTCTATATTTTTTTCTTTTAAGAATAATTTTTAATGTGTGCGTTAAATTAATTTATATGATCCTTAATGAATCATTTGTTTATATTATGAATAATTATTGGTTTTTAATTGACGTTCTTAAATTCAGCACCAGATAATTTTTTTGCACGATTCATTGTAAAAAATAATGTTCAGAAAATACAAATTTTTAGTGTTTAAGGGCGCTCTTCTGTTTGGTAAATGAGCTTTTATTTTAAAGTTCGTCAGGAGGCGAAATTTTAATTAATTTTCTTATCAACATAAAAGTGACGCCACGCAAATTAGTTTCATAATGTGAAAATAAATTAATTAATTTGGGGAATTTTGCGCCCTCCCAATTTTGGCGCCTCAGGCCGCGGCCCGGCTGGCCCCGCCCTTAGTACGGCCCTGATAGACATATACAGATAAATACAACAGGTATATTTAGCTATACTCTTATAATTTTGTTCATAAAAACACTTGATATATGACTGCGTTTATGTTTATAGATGCAATACGAAGAAATTTCCTATATGATATATGACTGCGTTTATGTTTGAATACAAACAAAACTTGATATATGACTGCGTTTATGTTTATAGAAGCAATACGAAGAAATTTGATGACAAAAGATACCACATACAGCAAAATTTAAAAGGCAGTTGCGGCTTTTATTTCTGGAGCTCTAGACAGAAATAGAGGCAGAAAAGAAAGAGCAGAAAAAAAGTCCATCCAAAAAAACAGTTCATCAAAAAATCGCAGCTATACTGCCCAATCATTGACATTGAAACCTTTATCTGGATTATCATTACCACATTTGAATGCTTTATTTTTGATGAATCTGACAAAGTATAATGTTCTCAAAGTCTTGCATGATCTTTTTTATATGTTATATTTTATATTAATTGTATATTTGACATTGTTATAAGCTTTACAAGTATTTATGTTATTAATGATAAATTTAAGGCATTTATTTTTTATATATTTTTAATGTAAATTTAATAACTTGTAAATTATTAACAAAAAATATATTATGAATTCAACAATTATTTTTTGTTTTAAACTTATGTCTGTTTTAACAAAAAGTAAAAAAAACAAAACATAACTGACAAACATAATAGATATAACAATTATTTTTATATAATTATATAAAAATTATATATATATATATATATATATATATATATATATATATATATATATATATATATATATATATATATATATATATATAATATGTATAATAGGATTGGTCAAAAATTTTTTTTTTCTTGTTACAGGCTATAAACATTGCTAATAGTTATTAATATTGATACTATTAAATATGAAAATGATTGAGATAGATTTTAAGGCCGCAACTTAATTGGGAAAACTACCGGTACCCTAATATTTTGGAGAAAAAAAGTTTTCAAAAGTAGGTCAACCTGGTACTCAAAAGAAGCGAAATTTTATAAAAAATTCGAAAATAATAATCATTTTATAAAAATCATATTGCCGAAAAAATTGTTATTAAAAAAAAAAATGTAAAAATGCACCTTTTTCACTTTTAGTTAAAAAACTATTGTTATTATGCAATAAAATCTAAAATAATAATTTCAATCTAAAATAATAATTTGAATAATATGAAAAAATTATTATTTTTGAAATTTTTATAAAATTTCGCTTTATTTGAGTACCTACATCACATAATTTTGAAAAACTTTTTTTTTGAATAATAATAGGGCCTGCTAATTTTTGTAATTATAGTTGCGGGTGGAAGACATTGTTCAATTCATAAAAGTAAATACTTTCCTAAATTAGTATATAAAAAAACAACTTTCTAGACCATAGCCAGGTTGGCAACTGTAAAAAAATATTTTACGACCCACCTTAATATATAATAAGTAAAATTAGTAAAAATCGACGAAAAAAGTAGTTTAATTGGACAATTTTGTATAGTGGGCGTTTAGTGCAACGTTCGCTGATTGCCAGCGTTGGCCTTGAATTGAATCAATGCTGGCTTGACGCTAGCAAAACGTTGCTGCGCCAGCACTGGCTTGCGTATACTGGCCCTTTGAAAAACCAATGAGCAACCCGGCGCTGGCGTGCCAGGCCTGGTACAGCTTGGCAGCCGAGCCTGGTTCGCTATTGGGCTAATAGTGTCTGCTTACTGGGATGCTTCTTTATCTATAAGCCTATTTCCTCATTTTGTATTAGAGCGACGCATAGCGCGATAAGGTATATAGGGAAGAAGGGCTAGTGATTTTAATCAGTGGTTATTTATTACACACGCTATGCATTTAAACAGTTTTCAACACATTCTGTTATAAGAAACACACTACGCATTTAAACGCAATTTTCGGTGTATAAAAATGAAAAATATTTAATATAATAAAAAATTTTAACGTTCATTTTTATGCACTTAATTTTTACATTAATTTACAATTTACACACACACAAAAAAAAAAAAAAAAAAAAAAAAAAAAACAAGAAACAAACAGAAATATGTATATATAAAAAAAGTAAAAAACGATTCATCTTATATAAACAGAAACTCAATCGATATTAGTCAGAATCCGAGCAACATAGGATTTAAAGCAACTAAGAACTCTTAAGAAACGTTAGGAGATCTATACATATTAACATAGTCATAATAAAAATAAAAAAATGATTAAAAAACAAACTATTTTTTTATTACCTGTTAGGGTAAATTATAAATAAGCGTATATAAAAGAAAGTTTTTTTAAAAAAAAGAACAAAAAAGAACAAATAATCTGTTATTTGTTCTAAGAAACATATCTGAATCTTCTACAATAAAATTTATTATGATAAACATTTCACAGTGGACTACCGGGACGATATAGAATTTCGAAAGTTGCTGAATGGGTTGTCGTCGGATTTCTTCCAGGATCCAGATTCAAATGCTTGATGCGACTGATGAGCTAAAAGAACATTTCGTACAAATTTTTCATCAAAATGTTTATAAAATTTAAAATTAATTTTAAGTCTTAAATATTTATAGGTTAAAAATAAGAAGCATTTACAGAACTATTGAGAACTATTTTTATTTTTTAAAATATATTTATTGTATTTACTTTTATTTCTTTAAAAGTAAATAGAAGAAATTATGAATAAAACATCAATATCTCTGTTCTTGATGAAAAACACTTTCATTTTTTATCAGTAACATTTAAGGTACCACAAGGCTCTAATCTTGATTCTGTGTTGTTCTTCACCTGTATCGATGATCTACCTGATACTTAATCTCACCATTAAAGTAGCGCTTTTTGCATATGACACCAATATTTACTCCGTCAGGGTTAGGGTTAGACAAAAAGTTATCACTTTTTAATTGGCCAGAACAGGCAGCCAATCTTAAATCTGATCTTCTGAGAGCCAATCTTGAATCTGATTTTCTGAAAGAGCTAATCTTGAACCTGATTTTCTGAGAAAGCTTGCAGTGGCTGGTTTCACCAGAACAAAAAATGTTTACTCCTAATAATAATCATAATATTGTTAATACTTTCATAATGATAAATGACAACACTCTTACTAAATCTTCTACTTTACATCTTTTCTTATTAATCAGTACTAACCTCTCATGGAGTACTAGCCTCTCATAGAGTGCATATATACAACTAATTTGTTTAACTAGCATCTGCTAAGGTTGACTCTCTTTTTATTGTGGTTGACAGTTTTTTCTTCCTGATTCTATTTTCTGTCTTTTTAAATTTTATTCCTTATTTGTCCTTGTATGAAATAACGTGGTCATATTTGGGGTTGTTTTTTCTAATGGAAAAGTCCAAAAATACACAGTAAATGTTGTTGACCTGCTTCAGGTGCTAAGTTTAAGCAACTATACGATCGCCATAAGGTTGCATCTTTTTCGCTAATAAAATACTATACATGTTAAATAGTACAGCTGCTTAAGCAAGCTATTAGCTCTTGTTTCAACAGCCAAAAATCATTATTTTTTTGTAAATGCTCTGTAACTATAAAAAGCTTTCTTTCAATGTAACGGAAAAAATGCATTCTTTTGCTGTAACTAGAACCATTTTCTTCTATGATTTATATTATTACATAACACTAAAGATCATAAGTTGCATATAAATATACTAAATACAAAAACAACACTTTATATCAGAATGTTAGCTAGCTATTTGCATTGGATGCTACACATATTTTAGTCAGTGTATCTTCATACAGAACTAATTGATTAGTTAAAAAAAAAGCCTTTTTAAAGCCTTCCAAAACATGAAAGCCAGATTTGTTTTGATTTAATCAACTTTAAAAGGTAGTTTTATTTTTGTAAACATTTATCAAACTTTAAACTTAAAAAAGAATTATTAAAAAACCTTTGTAAAAAGCTCCTGTTGTATCAAATCCTGGCGCAATTTCTGCAAGTCTTGTGAGTACCTAAAAACGTTTAATAAAACAAGTAAGAAATGAAATTACAAAAAAAAGATAAAATACAGTTAATAATATAACTGTTCATAAGAATATGATATGCTATAATAGTTCTGAAAGTCAGAAAAAATTTTATGGTCTTTGATTTTATTTAGATATCCTAGGCATGTTTATCACATACTGCATAATTAAATAAAAATACAATTATGAAAACAACCATTCAGATTCTTTAATCTTTAACTCTTTTAACGCTTATACAAATTTTCATTTTTTTTACTTTTGATATGATGCAATCAATTTATATTTGTTGACTTTTTGTGTGACTAACTACATGAATATTGTCTAAGCATTTAAGATTACCAACAGTTTCTTATGTTTAAATTTTTTTTCCATCAAAACCAATAATTTATTAGAAACAAAGTATTCTTCCAAACTAATACTTTTTGAAAACTTAAATAAATAAAAAAGACTGTTATCAAAAACATACGTATAACTTTAAACCATAACTTTAAACCATATCTTTAACCACTAGTTCTTGTCATTTTTAGCATGGCTAAAAATTATCCTATGCAAAAACTAGGTAAAGAAATATTATAATAATAAATCATTTCATAATTAATATTTAATTAGGTATCTAGCGAGACCTAACTTTCACAGTATATTTTTTTTAAATGCACTTAAAAATATTCGAAATAAAAAACCCAAAACTCAAATTAAATTTAATTATACAAGTGATATGACTAAAACAAAAACATTTGAAAATATGAGGAGAAAAATTTAGATATTCGAAAGTGTACAGATAAAGTATTACAAACCACACAATTAAATTAATTTAACACAGTAAAAACTAATTTATAATAACTCTGTTGCTGGCGCAACAGTATTGTTGCTTTAACTTTTTTCTTAAAACCATGGTAGTGGTTTCTGATTGGTTCATTTTTTCTGTTGATTTAAAGAATGCCTGCTCAAACCAAAACCTTAATTTATGTATGCGCATTCAGTTGTGCCTATCTCTATATCAGTCAATGTATATACACTCACTGCACCAATTCCTATATTAGTCAATGTACATACTCTCATTGTGCCTATCCTATATCGTTTGATGTATGTACACTAGTAAAAACTATTATCTTAGAGTATATCTATAAAATTTATGTTGCTTGTCCATGCTTTTTTTTTATATAAAAATACTAAATTGTTTTGCCTTTTCAGGAAACAAGTATTATAAAAATAAACAGTCAGGAAAACTTTATTTTTCTATATATAATAATCTATATTTCTATATATAATAATATTTTTCTATATATAATAATATAATAATTGGTTAATTGAGATAAAATGTCGGGATATTGAACAAGACAACCAAAAAAAATTTCAAATATAACTGATTATTGAGCCAAAAATATAAAAGTTGCATAAAGTTCATTAAAATGTGCAAAATAAATATTGCGCAATAATAAATATTGTGCAAAATAAATATTGTAATTAAACAAGATATTATAAAGTTTATGGACCTATCCTTAGAAATTAGATTGCTAACTGATTTCTTCAATTACCAAAAAAATCAGGCTAGGTCCATAAACTTTATAATGGGTTAATACAACATTAATCTTTAATATCTACTATCTTTTTTTTTTTTTTTTTAATTATCTTTGATTCCAACAAGGCTGCAAGCAACCACTAATTAGTGTTGGAAGTTACTGGAAGAGAAAAGATGAAGATTGTAGAGCAAGATAACGATTGACAGACGACTTAAAAGATTACAAATTATATGAATCAGGAAAGCAAGATGAGGGAAGCAAATTCTAAAGAACTGATGTTCGAGGAAAAAAACTAGACGAATAAGAGTTTTTGGAGCACTTAGGAACAGTAACAGAAAAAGGATGAGACTTAATTGAATGACGAGTAACATGAGTATGAATTTTAGTAGATGGCACAAGAGACGCTAGCTCTTTCAAGCAGTGCCCATTATAGTATTTGTAGAAAAAAGAAAGAGAAGCAACATTACGACGATGTGACAGAGGTTGAAGGTTGGCTGCAAGAGTAGGTCCAATTATGTTTACAATGCGTTTTTGCACCTTGTCTAAAAGAGAAAGGGCATCATTAGAAGATCCGCCCCAGATATGGCAACAGTATTCCATACAAGGCCGATTTTGAGATTTATGGAGATAGAGAATAGAATCCAGAGTAAGAAAGTGACGAGCTTGATAAAGAGAAGCAACTTTAGCAGATGCTAATTTTGCAACGGATTTGATATAAGGTTTCCAAGAAAGATCAGAAGTAAGAGTTAATCCTAGAAGATGAAGGGTAGGAGACTCATCAAGTACATTACCATTCATAAATATAGGAAGGTCTAAATTATTGTGATAACAATTGGCTGAAAAACAATTGGCTGTGTTTAATCTGAATTAAAGTTCACCAGCCACTGTGAGCCCCATGCTGTAGCAGAAGTGAGATCCTTTTCAAGCTCAGATGCCCCCTGCAAGCAATCAGAGGGAGTTGGCTTCTTATCGTGACAAGAATAAATGGTAGTATCATCAGCAAAGAATGCCACCTTATATGTGAGAATACCTGGAAGATCGTTAATGTATATTAAAAAGAGTATAGGGCCAAGGAATGAACCTTGGGGAACCCCTGAGGTTACAGAATAAGAAGAAGAGTGCTGTCCATCAAGAACAACTTTTATACTACGATTGGAAAGAAAGGATTCAGTAATCTTAAAGATGTTTCCAGATACACCGTAAGAAGAAAGCTTATGGAGGAGACCAGCATGCCAAACCTTATCAAACACTTTGTCAAGAGCAATGGTCTTAATTTATCCACCTTTATCTAATGCGCGATAAAACCTATCGGTTATTACTGATAGCAAATCAGCCGTAGAACGAGAAGATCGAAATCCATATTGATGATCAGAAAGTAGGTTATGAGATTAGAGAATAAGTGTTTGTTAATTAAAGATTCAAAAACCTTGCTTATGATAAGAAGAAGACTAATGGGACAGTAGTTAGACGAATCAGATCGCTCTCCGTAATTTTTAAAAATAGGGATAACAGATGCTGCTTTCCAGTAGGCTGAAAAAAAAGACTCTGATAAGCACTTGCTAAATAGTTTTGAAAGGATAGACGACAGCTCCGGAGAACACTTCTGCAAGACTATAACAGGTATGTTGTCCGGGCCGCAAGCTGTAGAAGAGTCTAAGCGGGAAACCACTTTAGATACAGACGCTGGAGTGATACGAATGTCGAGCAATGGATCAACCTGTTTGACGGCTATATCAGGTAGAACGCAACTAGTGGCATCAAGAGATGATATTGATGAAAAGTTCTTAGCAAACAATTCAGCTTTGTCTTTAGGTGAGGTGACAAAGTCTGAACCATACAAAAGAGGTGGAATTACAGACTTGCCCTTGTTATTGATACTATTAAAGATTCTCCAGAAGTCACGAGATTTTTGTGATGAAATACGAGATTTCATGATCTGAGATTAGCAGGCTTTGGCATTAGACAAAACCTTTTTACAATGGTTCCTAGCAGTAATAAACAGACATCTGTTTTCTGGAGAATTGTTTTGCTGATAGATATGGAAGTAGTGGTTTCGATTGGCAATTGCAGCAGCACAATGCGAGGAAAACCATGGAGAAGAGTGAGGCTTGACCTGGAATCGTCGAGAGGGAATTAAGGATTCCATGACTGCCTGAATCCACGAAGTTATGTAAGAAGCACATTTGTCAACAGGGAGACGAAAGATTTCAACCCAGGGGCCATCACGAAGAAAATCACGGAAAGAGTCGCAGTCAGCTTCAAGGTAGTTGTAAGATGTACGATGATAAGGGGATTCTGATGGTAAAGAAGAATGAGATAATAGTTTTAGAGAGACCAAACCATGATCAGACGCACCTAAGGGTGAGTGTGAAGAAGCTGAGCACTGACTAGGATCAGAAACAAGACATAAGTCGAGTAGAGAAGGTAAATGATTCGGGTTGTCTGGAAAGCGAGTTGGAAAGTTGACTATTTGAGTTAGGGATTGAGAAAGACAAAAGTTATGGGCCTTAATGCCTGCAGAGTCACTGACACTAGAGCCAAGCCATTCAGTGAGATGAACATTAAAGTCACCGACAACAACAATATTGGCTGATGGATAAAGAATGAGGGCTTAGTCAATATAATCAGAAAAAACATCAAGAAGTGTGCAGTCTTGAGATGAGGGAGAGTGATATAGAACAAAGAGAAAGGTGATAGAGTGAAGTGGTGCTAAACGAAAGCACATAAAAGAGTAGTATGTGGATTCAAACCTAGTTTCCCTACAAATGGGTGAATTCTTTCGAATGTAAATGCCTAGGCCAAGCATGTGACTATTGGAGTCTTTACATATTAAAGGATGATAACCATCAACACTAAGATCACAAGATGAGACAGTTGAACTCAAATTAGTCTCACAAAGAGCAAATAGGTCTGGTGAACTTTGCAAGAGATAAGACTCAACAGAAGAAAAGTTACTTCGAAGACCACGAATATTGGTGAATGATAGGTTTAGCGAACTTGGTGATGACTGTGGTTTTTTGTGTTTTATAGTTTTTGTTACTTTATTCATTTTTAGATTTGTTAAAGAACTTGACTCGAAACATAGATAGTACTCAGTACACTGTTTTATAGCTCAAGCAATTGCTACATTTCCACTAATAAACCCTAAGCCGTAACAAAGGGCTCCAATGTGGCCTTGGCAATGCACACCAAAAGTACAAACAGGGACACCATCCATGCGCAACATGGCACTGTTAGTACTCTGATATTTTTCAGCTGTTGATGGAATCAGCCTCTCTGAGAGCTACCACAGAGTTCGGGAAACCTGACTACCAGCCAGCCTCAGAACCATAAACTGAGTTTTAGAGCTGTACCGTCATTTGGAGATAATAGAATGAGTTGCCTAGTCATAAAAACAGAGACACAAGCAAAACCCATGCATCGAGTCAAGAAGATACAGCGTTCAACATCCTAAACTGGAAACAATGTATTAAAAATACATCTGCGCCAGCCTAATAGATGGAGAAGGGGTGCGAGGCTGGTCAACAGATAGAATTTGTTTACCCCTTAAGTCTTTACCTAGGAGGCTTTCTACAAGACAGCAGCCAGATGCATTTAACATCTGCCCAAGATGAGTATTTTTATTGAGACACCATCTCTAGCCTTTACTCAACCAAGAGCCCTAAGGCAGGGGGTGTTTTATGTCGGAGTTTGCAACTCCTAGCCTTTGCCTAAAAAGGCATATCCTACAAGGCAGCAGGACATGAAGCAGATTGTACTGAGTTACATGTTACCAGTAGCAGGATAAACCTGACCTGGCCATCTACATAAGAAGTCACAAACCCAGTTACATATTTAAAAACAGTCATTTACAACATGGCTGCAGGGAATTACTATTTACTTTTTTACTATTTATTAGAAGTTATTAGAAAATAATAAAGAAAAATAAAGTTATTGACAGAAAACATGAGAAGCTGAAAATCATGATTCAGAAAAATAAAGAAAAGAATGAGTTGAAAGTACTAATAGTTTCAGATAAAAAGTTTTTTGAGTTAACAATGCTTAACAATTAAAGGTCCAACTAAATTCAAAAGTTTTTGCATTTTGTCAAAAGAAAAAATAGCATACTAAAAAAATCCAGCTAACAATATTCCATATAAAGATGAGTTAGTAATTTATAGGATTGAATTTTTTTTTTCTTTAAATAATTGAACTAATAACAAGTACTAAACAGAACTAAATTTTAAATGATTATTAGATTTATTGATTAGATAAAATTTAATTAAGATAAGAAAAAATTTAAATGATTAAAAGATCTTCCACAGATTCATCCTTGCTTATTATCATTATTATTTAGGGATCGCAAAAATTTGTACGCACAGATATTTGCATAATTATGTGCATAACTTTTTTTCAATAAAAACGGTTAAATTGTTTTAACTAGACAGACCAAAAAATGAATTTTAACTCTAGTTTTCATGAAATTTTTAATTAATTTTCCTGGTGAGAAATCGGGTAGCAAATAATTTTCCTAGTGAGAAATCGGGTAGCAAATAATTTTCCTGGTGAGAAATCGGGTAGCAAATAATTTTCCTGGTGAGAAATCGGGTAGCAAATAATTTTCCTGGTGAGAAATCGGGTAGCAAATAATTGTAACAATAAAGACAGCAATTTGACCACGAGGATCACTAGCTTTTTTTAAGTTAGCCAAAAGCTATCAATATTTGTAAAGACAAAGACAGGGGTTTGGCTACGAAGACAGGTAGCTAAAGACCTACTGGCTATTGTAGCTAGCTAGCATCATATCTTAATAAAGTCTCTGTTTAAAAAAATTTAATATGTAGCTATCTAAAATTAAATCTCTTTAACTAATGCACTTTTATAATTCATAACTTTAAGTTGTTAATTATAAAAGTGCTTTAATTTAAAAAACTGAAAAATTATAGTTTAAGAACTGCTACTTCCTTTAAAATGCAGTCATTTTTGTTGTTTGTATCCATCAAAACACTATTGATATATATGAAAACTGTTCAGTCTTTGAAATTTCAAAATCTAATATTGAAATGATTTGTTCGTCAGAAGAGAGAACTTTGTTGATTTTTCAATTTATTTATTCACGATTAAGAAATATCTTGACAAACAAACGCGTAAAAAAATTAGTTTTCATATATACCAATATACATTTTAGAGGATTTTTTGAGTGTGATGAAATTATAAATGAGCAAATGTAATGCAAAAATAAATTAAATTGTTATACTTTGTGATATAGAAATTCGTTTGAAAATCATGAAAATAATTTGAAAGATTTACGAATAAAATTAATTAAATCGAATGTCAAATGAAAAATTATTTCTTTTAACTTAGACTCACTAGCGTTTGATGAAAAAAAATTTTTTTTTTTCTATATTAGACAATAATTAATTTCATATAGCATTTATCTGTTAAATTTGTATGCTCATCATATGCATATTACGTACGTAATTATAACTTTTGAATGGTATGCACATATATTTGCTAATATACGCATAAGTTCCAAACCCTATAATAATAATAATAATAATAATAATAATAATAATAATAATAATAATAATTATTATTATTATTATTATGCCTCTCGGTCAAATCTTTTTTTATCTTGGAATTTTTTTCTTACGAAATTCAAAACTTACAATTAAAATGCTACAGAACTTTGCAAACATGAGGAATAATAATCCTTAAGAAAAACTATTTAAAGCTATTTTAATGTCATCTTGATGTAAGATTTGATAATTCACTTTGGCTATATTGGATCATCATGGTACTTTAAAATTATACAGTCTAAAGCTGTTGTGTAAAGAAGTTGTAACTTTAACTTTCAAGTATGTTACGACAAAGTTTGTACAAAGCTTTATCTACACAGGGTTGCCACTATAATTCTAGAATAAAGTTCCTTGATTTTACCTGATTTTTTTAATAGAATTTTCCTTATTTTCTCCTAATATTTTTATCATTTATAGTCAAAAACTTAGCATTAAAACTTCAACATAAATCCCCAGACTTACTATCCCCCCCCCCCCCCACTCAAAAAAAAAAAAAAAAAAAAAAAAAAAGAAAAAGAAAAAAAGAAAAAGAAAAGAAATCAAATTGCTTTCCTTAAACAAGAATTTTTTATATTTCTGTTTTATATAAAAAAATAAAAAATTGTTAGATAAAAATGAATAATGAAACACTGTACAATACCATTTAAAAAAACAGTTGAATGAAATCAATTGGCAGAAGTTGCCTTCCATTGAACATGTTACATAAAACATCTTTTTTGATTATTAAAATTTGATTATTAAAATGGAAGATTTTACACAATCAGCTTTTCTGGCAGGAGAAACATATTAAGTTTGCATGAAGCTTTTATTAACTCACCTGATTGAAAACCAGTTTTAAAAGCACCATGGTTTGCATGGAGGTTGCAACTCTTACTTTTAAGAACTTTAGATAGCTCTTGTAGTTCATGCTGCTTTTAGTAAGATCAAGAACTGAAATAGCCTGGAAGATGAGATTCAAAATATTTGTATTAAACACAATATATTCACTGTTGAAAAAAAAAATCGCAAAAAACTAATATTTAGATCCATTTTACAAGTTTGAAAAGAATCATTCATATCAACTTATCAAACGAAAAGGTATAAAAATAGATATCTTGATATTTTGTGTTAAAAGTATGTGTAAACAATGCCAAAGATCAAAATTAATACTGTTTTTTTTTTCTTCCCATCTCAAAGGATTTAGTAATTGTGCTATCAGGAAACATTTTTTGATATAATAGACCATTTTCATTAAAATTACTTCAATGAGAAATTGTTTTGTACTTCATTTTTGTAAAACAGAAGAGATTTCTGCAGAATTTTTATCAGATTGATCTAATAAAAAAACTACTTGCTTTTTATATGTAGATTGTGCAGGTTTGAAGTAGCAGGATACTGGTTTTGACTACTGAACATATTTTTTCCCATCCATATTAATTGCCACTGCTCTATGACTTACATTTGATAAGTTAAATTAAACATGGCATGTTTTGCACTTGGTTTAATTTTATCTGTAATTTTTACCATCCATTTTTTTAACAATGGATCAATCAACCATTTTTTATTGAAATAAGTTGCCATTTAAAAAAATTTAATTTTTATTTATTCTAAAAAAAGAGAATGAAAATACAATATGGTTTTAAAAAGCTCTTCACATATTGCAGCTAAACTTCACATTTCTACATAAAAAAACTTTGAAAGTCTTCAAATGTTGCAGTTAATTTTACAAAAAAAAGTACCTGATAAATTCATTTAAATTATTGATAATAGTTTAATTTAAACCTGGCTAAATGTTTACCATAATTTCTTTGTTTGGTTTATAGTGTAAATAAATGATCAGAATAAAAGTTAATTTATTTTATAATGATCAAATAAAAATATGCATAAACAATCTTATGAGTTTTATGATTATTTAATTAGTAACCTAAAAAATGAATATTATTTACAATAAAACATTAAAATAAAATAACAAAAAATTCAAAAATTCCCTGATTTTCCCTGGATTTTAACTAAATCAATCTTTTCCCCCTGATTTTTCCTGAACATATCTAAATTTCCCTGATTTGGTGGCAACCCTGTCTACACAAATCACCTGATAGTGTATGACTTTAACAACAAAAGAGCTACCAGAACATGGTGAGGCTCAAACACAATGCATCTTGAATACATAGAAAGCAGTCTAACACTAAACTACCACATTTGCTAAAATAAAAAAAGAAAATAAGAAGTTAAAAAGGAACCTTGGCAGAACCAACAGCACTGCTATTATCATTCCATATTTGTAGGATATCATCACGATCACGAACGCTTACACTTGCACCAACAATGCAATCATCTAAAAATATTTGTAAAAATTTTTAAAATAATATCATTAAAAAAAATATACTTTCTAGTTATATTAAAAAAACTAAATGCAAACAATTTATATATTAACAAAACTACCTTTTCCAACATAGTCTGTAAATTGCTCTCCAATTAATGCAAGAATAAGATCTTTCCATGCTAATGCCTATTTACATAACACGAAAAAAAAAAAAAAAAAAAAAAACTTTATGTAATTATAATATAAAAAAAATACATCATACATAAATAAGATGTCTTATATAAACAGATTTATAATATATAAAAATTCAAAGTACAGCTTAAAAATAATAATAATAATAAAAAAACTCGCATAGCATAAATAGATAACTCTAGGATATGCATCATATAGTCAACAAAAAAATGAATAAAAGCAGTACGAAAAACTTACCGTCTTGTTTTTTGGACATCTCATCTTCCAATAACCTCCTTTAACATTTTCAGGATCTTCCCTGTTAAAAAAAAAAAGTACAAAAAAGATTATAAAAAAAATCTATAGAAAAAAGTTTTTAAAATTGTACATCAATCAGCCTGAAAAATAAGAAATTGCAGGTAACCAATTTGACTGTCCAACACAAGGAATAAACAGTCAATTGTTTTTTTTGGATGGTGAAATTTTTTGTTTGTTTGTTTAAGTTTTTATCTTAGTAATAGTTCTTTATGACTGAACTTAATAAATGTGAGCTGAAATACATAAAAAAGTGCAAATAGGCAATTGATACTTTTTAATTTATTTTAAAAAAATTCATTTTATTGCAATGACTTCACAAATGGTGGGAAAAGCTACAAGAAAAATAATTGAAAAAGTTAAAAGAAAAAAAATACAAAGTACAGTTGAGATAATGTTCTTAATAACATACAACATTTTCATATAATAATAAAATAAGGACTTCAATCTCAGAAGTTAAAAAAGAAAAATTAGCTGCCGTGTTTTATCGCCAGTATGAATAAAGTATTAATTAGATAATAATAATGTTATTAACTCTTGTTTGCAGATAATATTTAATATATATATATATATATATATACATATATATATATATATATATATATATATATATATATATATATATATATATATATATATATATATATATATATATATATATATATATACATATATATATATATATATATATATATATATATATACATATATAATAATGATAATAATAATAATAATCCTATTATAGAAAAGAAGCACAAACACCCAATTAGTAATTTTAAATTTATCTATAAATCATTCATTTATTTTTAATTTGCGGCAAAACATACAAAACAAATTTACTAAGTGCAGTTGAAAGAAAGTTTTTAGTTTAATACAGAAATTATCAAATATTAAAATAACATTAAATATCTAACTAAAATAATAGTAAAATAAGAACGTCAACCATTTATAAAAAAAGGATTTTCAGCATTGATAAAATGAAAATGATTTATATAAGTGAAGCAAAAAGAAATATATATATAGTTCATGTCACATTTAATGTATTCATCGAAGGAGCAAATTAATGGGTTCAGGGTTGTTAAAGCGAAAAAATCACTAGTTTCTATTAACATGCAATGATTATGAAATAAAAATTTTAACAACCTTAAAATTAATACAAATAAATCTTAAGTATAATATATCTAAAGTAGTAGAATTAATAATATAAAATTATTAATAAATTAATAATTTTAATTATGAAATAACTAATTTAATTTTAATTATGGCAATAATTAATGACAATAAAGAATGATAAAAAATACTTAATTTTTATTCATTGAATTTTTGATATAAAGTTAATGCAACATTTTAAAAACAAAGATAAAAACCAGGCGATATTAAAAAAAAAAAAAATTGCTTTAACATCTTTTAACTTTAAACTTTTTGCTTTAACAACCTGCTAGCAATTAAAGTAGCATATCATTAACAACAAAGCTATTTTAAACGCTTTTTCAAATTTAAATGGTTTCATGAAATTTTGGTATATGCATTTTCAAAATAATTTTCTGATCTTTTGTCAAATGTTTTTAAAAACTCTGATTTATTTTTTAACCTATCAACAATGGCTGGCAAGAATTTATTTTTTAACCCATCAACAATGGCTGGCAAGAATTTATTTTTTAACCCATCAACAATGGCTGGCAAGAATTTATTTTTTAACCCATCAACAATGGCTGGCAAGAATTTATTTTTTAACCCATCAACAATGGCTGGCAAGAATTTATTTTTTAACCCATCAACAATGGCTGGCAAGAATTTATTTTTTAACCCATCAACAATGGCTGGCAAGAATTTATTTTTTAACCCATCAACAATGGCTGGCAAGAATTTATTTTTTAACCCATCAACAATGGCTGGCAAGAATTTATTTTTTAACCCATCAACAATGGCTGGCAAGAATTCATTTTGGGAGGTCAAAATAGCAATTATACTTATTTCAGGTGGTCATGGACCATTGACTGGCCGTTATTTTCTGCGCTGATACTGATAATATTTTTATATACAGCTATAACCAAAAAGATCTGTCTACCCAATATTAATTGAGAAATGTTGTTCACTTGCATTTATTACTAGAAATATTTTAACTCAAAAAACAACTGACTATAAAAGAATATTAAAGTCACAGTATAAGTTTGATTTGGTTGTATTTGTATACTCTTAAACTTTCAGAACAGCCACTATTCTTTACTTCATTGCAGTAACAACAGATTCACAATTTTCAAGCATTATTTTATGACACCATATATTATAATATATGGCTTTTATCAAATCTGCTAATGAAGTTGGATTCTTGGAAATTCCTGCTCTCAATTTTACCAAACAGCTTTTGATGAAATTTGAATCGGGTGAAAAAAATTGCCACAGGGAAAGAATATTAATTGGATTTTCTCAGAGCTTGTCTTGAAAATTTCTGGAAAAGTTCTGATGGCAAAGTTTTCTGATGGCAAGTTGCTTTGTATGTTGCATGAAAACAAAAATCTTTTTAATTGAAAACCAATCAGACACAATGTTCTGTAAAATTTACAAAAAATTTGTGTAATTGACAGTCTAACTTTGTTGCAAAAGGCATAAACCAGCAATCAGAAATCACACCCCACATCATAATTGTCAGACAAAAGAAGCAACATGTTGTGAATGGATTTGATGGCCAAAGAACATTCATTTTGTGTTCTACAGTATGGTACGATTGAAGATTTAGATTTTTGGCAAGAAGTCTTTGAACTGTGTTGGCAAAATTCAAACTAGGATACAGTTAAGAATTTGTGAACTTGAAATCTGTATGCCCTTGACAGCCAAACAGTGTATCATGCTGTCAGTTTTTAAAGTGGTAATTATTGGTCTCCTGCAGAATTATCCTGGATTAAAAACAAAAACTCACCTAAATCGCCATTAAAGCAAATGTTATTAACCATGCAAAATTGAAGGCCCTAGAAGCCCATTTCTAACCAATACAAAATTAAAAAAAATACAAGAGTTGCTGAAATTTTATTGCTCCAACGCCAAAATGAGCATTCCATAGACATGTATGTGACAGTTACAAAATGAAAGTATAAGTGACAAAAGAGCTGTATGCTTAACACTCGGATAACAAACATAAGTTTAAGAAGTTAAGAAATAATATAAAAATATAAAAGTTATTTTAATGGTTATTTTAAGAAAAATACAAAGTTTATGTATAAAGTAAGTAGGCTATGCAAAAGAGATAAAAGCACAAAAAGAGACACAAACTACATGATAAAAACTATATGAAATAAACATATGTAAAAAAGATGCATATTATACAAAAAAGTGCATGATATATCAAAATAAAAAAAAAAAAAAAAAAAATAAAAAAAAAAAAAAAAAAACTAACTTTGCAAATAACAAATTTAAATTGTGTAAAAAAATAAAACTATGGAAAATGAATGCAAGGAATAAAAAAAGATGCATATATGCAAAAATAATGTTGAGTAAAAAATACAACAACAACAATCAAAACAGAAAACTCATAAAAAATTACACTTACAATTAAATAACTTATAATTACAATAAAGCTATATTAAAATTGTTAAATATAAAAAACTTAACATTAAGACTATTTTTAAATACATAAAAATAATTAAAAAGTTTAAACGTTTACCATATAGGTCGTCTTTCATCTCTCATCAGATGGTAGCTTCCCCATCCAATGCTACCTACAGGCGGTATATGATTATAGACACTCCAAAATCCCTAATGTAAACAAACAAAAACTACAAATAATTATAAACTACAAAGAAATGAACCATATAACAATTTAACAAACGTTATAAAATTGCAAAGTAAAAATAGAAAATAGTAAAAAGTAGTTGATAAAAAACAACAATTTTTGTTCTAGAAAACACAATTGAACAGATCATTTTAGAAACACAGAACCATGTTATAAGAGGGGTAAATACATATTACATGCATGTCAGACCTTTCAGTCAGAACTTTAATAAGATAACATGATATTGTGCTTGACTCATTTTTGTTTAAAAATGACTTATGGTGTTTCTAAAATGACTTATTGAATTTAGACACGCTTTTAGAAAATTAACAAAAACGATACATTTTTTTTTTGAGAACTTAACATAACCCACAGTAAAATCTATTTTTAAAACTTAATAAAAAAATAGCTAAGTTTCAGAAAATTTGTCAACATTTTTACTAATAGAGAGATAAACCATATTTCCATTGCTTCTATTAACATTTTTATTTGAAAGAATTTAAATCAGAAAAATTAAAAATTGTTGTTAAATCTTTATTTCATCAACAACAATAGAAGCAAAGTTTTATAAAATTGCTAGAAAACTTAAATAACCAATATTTAAAAAAAATTAGTAAATGTTTTGAAATACTAAGAGGGTGGTTGAAACTAGCAACTGATGTAATTTAACACACTTTCAAGTTTGGAAACTGAAATTATTAAGGTTTATTGTAGCCAGGGTTGCCAGAACTTTCTACAAAATGCCAAAAGATGTTATGAAAAAATATGCCATTCTGCCCTGAAAAATGCGAAAATTATTAAAATTATATTTTTATGTTTTATATCAAATTTTTATGGAATAATGTAAGATTTAATAGTCTTTTTAACAATTTTTTAATCTACAAAGTTTGAAAAAAATGTTATCTAGAAATAATTAGAAATAATATGTTAGGTACTGCAACAATGTGAGAACGGGGGAGCCTTGCGCCCATTTTTTCCAAAATTTTTTAAACAAAATGAAAAAATTCTTACATTTTTTTAGCCCCTCGGCACTGTAATCCCTGCACAGGCGGCTATTTTAATACTTCAAATCATCACTTTTTATTATGGTTCATTTTATACTGAAAAGCGTAATGATAAAAAACTGGATAATGGGATTAGTTGGAAAAAAAATGACTACAAAACATTTGTTTTTTCTATTTCTATTTAATCTATGTCAGAAATTCAAGCAAGATCATCATTGTCAAAGTTGATACTAATCTGACAAAGTACTTGAGTTAAATTTAGCAAACATTTCGCTTGTGATCTTGAAATCTTTGCAGCATTTTTGTGACTGGCAAGGTAGGATTTGAACTGCACCACTGACTGAAGTAGTTCAACTGAAATTCTGTTTCTTTGTTTGTTCTTAATACATGTGACTTAAGAAAATGTGCATTCAAATGTTTGCCTTGTATTTATGTATATATTTGGGTGGTTCAAAAAACAATATAGACAGTAAAATCTAAAATCTTTTTTATTTTATTTTGAATGATGATTATTTTTGAATTTTTTTTATATATTTTGGCTACATATAAGACCCAACAAAACATACTTACATAAAATTTTTTCTTGTAATAATATTACGGACTCATTAAACATTCAAGGGTCTAAACCCCTAAAAATATTTTATATTCAAAAACTTTTAAATCCAGTGTTATTTTATCATATACAAAAAATTAAGGTGTAAGCTGCAGATAGATGCACATGGTATCTTTTTTTTTATGGATAAACAAGATAAGATAGATGCACATGGTATCTTTTTTTAATGGATAAACAAGATAAGATAGATGCACATTGTAACTTTTTTTAACGGATAAACAAGATAAGATAGATGCACATGGTATCTTTTTTTTATGGATAAACAAGATAAGATAGATGCACATGGTATCTTTTTTTATGGATAAACAAGATAAGATAGATGCACATGGTATTTTTTTTTTATGGATAAACAAGATAAGATAGATGCACATGGTATCTTTTTTTTATGGATAAACAAGAAAAAAAAAATGAATTAAAGATTTTAAAGCTATTTTATAGAACTTTTTGCAGTTATTAACAACTTTTACAAACTTTAGTCTAAATGCCATATAATGCCATGAGCCTAAATTCATCCAAAATAATGCCAAAATGACATTCTATAATGCCATCTGACAACCCTGATTGTAATTTCAATGCTATATTAATAATTTTCAAACTGTATTGAGTTAAATTACTCAAGACTGATGAATTATGATAAAATTTAAGCTGCTAGCATATCAAACTATGGTAAACCATCATTAATCCCAAAGTTCCATTTGTTACAAAACTGATAAATAAATTTATTAAAAAAAAACTGAAAATAAATTTTATTACAAAACTGAAATTAAATTTGATTAAAAAATTTTAAATTGTCATTGTCCTAATATAATACTTTAATTTTTTAAAACGCAGACTTCTATCTTCTAACGCAGACTTCTATCCAAAATAAAAAATAAATATTAATTAAAAAAAAAAAGAAAAATGTAAACTTTTTTTGTTGTTGAAAAAAGTAATATTTTTCATATCTAGATTGATTCTGCCCAAACCCATGATTTGGGCACCATGATAAACTTTTAAATTTGACTTTGTAATAATTTTTTAAAATACCTTTTTTTTAGGTGATTAGTTAAATTTATGTGGTAGTGTTAGAGCACTTGCCTTACAAGCCAAAAATTCTGAGTTTGATCCCCGCCTTGTCCATGGTAGTAACACTATCAACTTGTCTCTCCATGCGGCCTTCTTCGTCAAGGTTCGTGTTGAGAGAGGGTTATAACCACAACTAAGGTAGCCTCCTCTAATACCATGGCTTTGGGGAGGTGAATTGAAATAATTGAAAAGCTGCGGTTTTATTGTTATAACTATATAAAAAGCAATTTGAGAAAGCAAATGAAATAAAAATGCGGTAGTGGTGTAGTGGCAGAGCGCTCGCTTCATAAACGAGTGGTTCCGAGTTTGATCCCCACCACATCCCTGGTAGTACCGCGCTCAACTCGTTTCTCCGCGCAGCGGCCTTGTTCGTCAAGGTTCGTGTTTCAGAGTTATAGAGTTGAGAGAGGGTTATAACCACAAATAAGTAGCCTCCTCGTCTGTAGTGGCTTTCTCGGCCTTTAGGAGGTGAATTAAAATTAAAAAAAAAAAAAAAAAATATCATTTTCAAATGCAAAAAGTGAACTTTATTATATACATACAATATAAATACATTTCACCAGTACAACAACAGTCAATTGCAATTCAGTTTTATGCTATTGGTTCATTTCAGGTGAAAAAGTATTTACATAATTTCAATTATATTATCATAACTATAAATATAATAAATTATAAGTGTTTGAAAAAAATAATACTCAATATCAAAGTTTTAAAAATACAAAATACTTTTTTAATACTTGATGTTGTTCCAAAGCAGTTTAAAATTAATTTATTAAACATATATCTTTTGGAATAAGCTTCACAAGTTTCTTATGAACTTGCTGAACCATTTGCATAAGTAATCCCAGAAAACAATCAATATCCCTTTAAAGTTTTTCCCGAGGATCAAAAATAATTTTTATAAACTGTATGTATTTTCCCGATACCTCCACTGGTTTGAAATGATGCAATTTCAATGCATCCATGATTTGAGAGAGTTTTTCTTTAACTCTTGGCTCAAAAAATTGATATATGACATTATTAGATGTTAATAAAAACATATTATTTCTAATTATTTCGAGATAACATTTTTTTCAAACTTTGTAGATTAAAAAATTGTTAAAAAGACTATTAAATCTTAAATTATTCCATAAAAATTTGAAATAAAACATGAAAATATAACTTTAATAATTTCGCATTTTTCTAACATCTTAGAATTCCATTGAATTTCCCCTGGTGTCCTATATATAACTTTAGTGATATTTCACTTTAATTTGCTTTGGCTGACATGTGACCACAGTTTTCTATTGCTGTTTTTAGTTGATAAATTAATTGTTTAACTTGGCTTGTGGAAGAACTTTGGTACTTACTGATAATTGCTGTTTACTTGCAGTTGAACTCAATGTTAGTGGACCACCAATTCACTAAAAATTATTAATGCAGGGATACCTTTTTTGTACAGGCCAGTGTCATTCAGACCTATTTTCTTGATATTTCTGGACATTTTTTTTTTTATTAGAAATAAAAAAACGGAAAAGTATTTTGTATTTTGAAAAACATAGAAATTAAAAAATAAATCAAAATTGTAATTAGAATACAAATACAGCTTTATCTCTGACAACTTGTACAGATTTTGAATTAATTGATCTACTCAGGACGTGATTGTTTTTTATACCTTAGTGATTAGTTTTTTCTTTAAAAAAATATTTTGGCTTTTTTTTTTTCCTTTTCTGATTTGAATTTTTTTTAAGTTATTCTTAAAATATAGAACAAATGTTTTTGTGTGAAGTTTTTATTTGGGGTCATCTATTAAGATTGCCACTCTAAATTTAACTTTTGAATAAAATACAAACATTTGTTCTTTTGCGCAGAGATTTTTATTTAAATTAAAGTGCTTTTGAATTTAAATTACTTTAAATGTGCAGCACACAAAACTATGGGCCATCAATAGTCAACAACTGCCCACAGTTTAGAAATTTAAGGTTTAAGTTTATTATCAGAGTACCCTAAAAAAATAATAAAAATAGTAATATGGATGTCTGTACACCTCATTTCCATCTTCAGAAAAATCTGAAAGACATCATTTTTAGAAATTGACATTGAAAATATGCCAAAAATTCTTTTATTTATTTATTTATTTTTAAATTGTAAAATATTGACAGGTTAAAATTTGATAAATAAAATGCAAATGTCCATATACCAACTTTTTAAGCACTTAACTTTTGTATTTGTACATCGACATCTGCTCTAAGTAAAGGAAAAACATTTTTTTAAGAACTTTTTTATATAATAATCATGCAATTTTTATTAATTTTAGGTATTTAATATACTAAATAACATGGTTCCTCTGCTCTCTATGGAGAGTGGAGAATATAATTTTAAATGAAATCATAAACTTTTTTAAAATTTATGATAAAAAACTTAATAAAAGATCATCTGCTGTTGCTACTTTAAAAAGAACAACAAATGCATTCTAGGAAATACAAATTTGCGAGGTCTAGTTTAAGTTTTTTGAAACCTGAGAATTAACAGGAAGTTTTTGCCTACCCTAGAGGATTATGTCTTGAGTGTAAGAAAAACTTATACTCTGCAAAGCTGGTAAAAGTGTTTAAAAAAACTTAGTTACTCTTAAATGAAAAAATGTTGATTTAATTAGCTTAAAAACTGCTCAATATTATGCCGTATATACATTCTAGGAAGAAAAAGATTTTATATTAAAAGGTATGAAACAGGGACCTAGTTCAACACTTTGCCAAACATGCTTCTCTGAAATTGCTAAAAGTAAACCCCACAAATGTTTCCGAAAAACAAGAAGCCTTATCTCTTATAAAATAAATTTATTCTAATTAAGAGCAAAATCTAGAAGCTCGCACCATTTTTAGAACAGGCAAAAAAAATTTAAATAAAAATAATCATAATAAAAATTTTTATAATTATCTTACTCTAAAATGTATTATAATAATATCAAGGAGTTAAAAGTATTCCTGTTACACTTAGTGCTACAGAAATGCTTAGAGAAAGATTCCTTTTAATGAAGTAGATGGTTTGGTAAATACCTTAGCACTTAGTCAGTTTAAGTCCAATGAAATGTTAAAAATGTTGCAAAAAAGTTGTGTCAAGCTAAAGTCAAAAATGTTGCAAAAAAGGAGTGTCACTTAAAGTCAAAAGTAGTGTCAAGTTAAAGTCAGAAAAAGGCCAGGATAAAAAAAAGTAATCTACTTTCTCACTTTTATGTTGCTGAATCATTAGACTTTTAAGAAAAGGGAAAAAAATGATGAATATGTCACAGTAAAGAGAGACTTGGTTTACATAAAAGATATTACAACATTTTTTGGATTTATAATGGAATATAGAGGACAGGATTCAATTTAGACATTTGATTAAGACTAAGATGGATTCAGGTAATTATAATATTTAAATTCCATTTTATAATAGAATTATTTAATTTTATTAATTATTGTTTTAAAAGCATATATAATATATTCAACTATAAAAATACCCATATATTACAGTTTTTACTTTCTCTTTATTCTACACTTTCTTTATATATATATATATATATATATATATATATATATATATATATATATATATATATATATATATATATATATATATATATATATATATATATATATATATATATATATGATGTATTTTTTTATCTCTAAATGTAAACAGGATTTTTAGACCGGTATGCCCAGGAATTTTTTGGGCATACCGGTCTACAAATCCGGTCAACATTTAGAGGACCTTATTTTTTTAGAACACAAACTTAAAAGATTTATATAATATATACGTCGCCCTAGTATCTTTTTTCCAAATAAAAGATAAATAATTAACCAAAATGTTACATTCATTACAAAATGACGGCTTTAATACCAACATTGATTCGCAGATAATTTTTATTTATATGCTTTATTCTCAAACTATTGTAAAGAATAAAATCAAACTTAATTCCTTACTGCTTCCTTAAAGCTTTAGAGGGTAATAAATTACAAAAATCTTTTAAAATTAAATTTTAACATTTAGTTAATAATTTAGTTAATAATTTTATTAAAAAATTTAATTATAGTATATAAAAAATTTTAACAAGTAAATTAAAAGCTAAGTTGATTAAAAGCCAAGTAAATTAAAAGCTAAGCAAAAAAAAAAAACATCTAAAATTACTTTGATGATGGCAAACCTCAAAAAACCTTAAAACTGTAAAAGTTTGTTTTGAATTTTGTTAAAAAAAAAAAAAAATTGATTTGATTTAAAATTATGTTGAAAGTAATATTTTTATAGCATAAAGTATTTCTTTATTTATAAATTTAGTAAACATAGTAAAACAAAAATTAAAAGATCGAAAAAAAGTATGATTTACTTAATATATAAAATACATCACACTAAAATTACCTATAAAGTAAATCAAAACGTACATCACACTAAAATTACCTATAGAGTAAATCATAACGTATATGACACTAAAATTTATCTATAAAGTAAATCAAAACGTAAATGGCACTAAAATTACCTACACAGTAAATCAAAACGTACATGACACTAAAATTACCGATAAAATAAATCAAAACAACATAAAGTTACTCAACTTAACAAAAAAAAAAAAAAATACTTTATATGCTCAAAAGGATATATTTGCAAAAGTTAGCCATATCAATGTTTCTATTTATATCTTATATGATTTCAACGCATAAAAAGCTTCTATATAAAAATAATCTTAACAAGAAATTCAAACAGAATATGAAAAACACAATACAATTACTTTATATTATATCAATAATGATATTAAGAAAAAAATTTTTCTATAATACACAATATTTTTCAGTACTTCATTTTAAAAGAACTCTATTTGAAAAAGAGAGTTTTAGTTTTCTAACACTTCAAAGAATTTTGCAAATTTTCAATGTTCGCTAACAATAATAAATTTAATTGAAGAGAAACTGCCGTGACACCTTAATACCCTATGGCATAGTAGGGTCATTCCTAAAAATCAAACAGAAAATTTTATATAAGTCATAAATATTTTTAATAGCTAAATATTTTTGTAAAAGCACCATTATTTTTTTGATTCAATAATATAAATGGTATAAAAAGTAGACACATTTTATTGCAAACATTAAACCAGTGAAATAAAAACTAAATTATAAAAAATTGAAATTTAAGAAATTATTCTAATTCTGTTCAAAAAAAAAAAAAAAAAAAAAAAAAGCTATATTTGGACTTATACTTATGAAAATACAATTAGGTTAAACCAATTTTTTTCTTAAACAATATTTTATTGTAAAACAATTTGATCAGAAAAATTGAATAAATTGAATGAAACCATAGACTATAAAAAATTAATTAAAAATTCTGTTAATAATTGCTAGATTGAGAAGCAATAAATGCTAGATTGAGAGGCAATAAATCTAGAAAGAACGCGGTATCTAATAAATATAATATATTTTCAAGTTAACAAAAACATACTATTATTAAAATATTAAGTTTAACGTTGTATGAAAATAATATCATCAATTCTAATTTTTTATATTATATATTTATTAATTAATTCTTATTAACTTATTAACTAAATATATTACCTAGTCTAAACGTTGCTAATCTTTTACAACAAAAAAAAAGGTTAGATAAAACTTCAGTATTTTAAATAAAAATATAGTGGATTATCTAAAAGAAAATTTTTTTTAATGAAAAGAAATCTACAACAATTATATCTGCAACAATATAGTTCAACTTTAAAAATTTGGTTTAAAAATCAACCAACTTAATTTAAATTAAATCAATTAATTTAATTTGAATCAAATTAATTTAACTTAAATCAAATCAATTAAATTTAAAATTTAATTAATCTTAACTCACTATATTTGTTTTTGTAAACATTTTATAACCAATAAAAAAAATTGTGTTTTAAAAATATTAAAGTTGCTCGATAAACATTAAAAACTTAGGCACCAAAAAAAGTTTACATCGCTTTGTTTTTTAAAAAATACATATTCAAAAAAAAGTTTTTGTAAAAAAAAAAAAAGTTTTTGTAACAAGAAAAAGCAAGCAAGAACAGGATATATCCTATAATTACCTCAAAAATGATTCATTTTTTGCTGAAATCTTAGGCAAATTCTTTAACAACTCCAGAAATATAAGCTTTAACTCCCAATTACTTTGTTAATAAAACATGTCGAATTATAGCTATAAATTATTTTCAGAAAAAAAAAATTCAGCAAAAGATTTAATTTACTGTATGAAAAATTAAAGTTTTGTTAGTTTTGTTTTGTTTTTATTTTTTTTGACAAAGTACTGATTAGGTTAATAATAACAACAACAACAACAACAACAATTATTATTATAACAAATAATAAAATTAATATTAATTAAAATAGTAAATAATAATAATATAGTAATAATAATAAAAAAAAAATATGTGTGTAACCTAATTTTATATTTTATAACTTTATTAATTTGATCATTGCTTTCTATTTTAAGTAGTAGAGTGAGGTGTTTAAACTAAATGAAAAACTCTAACCCAAAAAGAAGGACATTGGTTACCTTCAAAGTTAGGGAAAAAATAACACAAATAAAATAGTAGCAAATAATATGTAAACTTGAACAATAAAAGTATAAACACTAACATAAATTTCAATAACGCCATTAACTAGTATAAAAATGATTGAGAACTTAAATACAAAAACCTGATATTTTAATAAAAAGTTGTACCTGAACAGTTCTGACAGTGTATATTTTCTTCAGATTTGCTTGGTATTCCGCTGCTGATAAACCTCTCTCATATCTTATTTTAAAAAATTACATTTTTTTCGCAAATTATTGAAACACAAATTAAATTAAATTTTAACTTTAAAAGTAAAACTGCTTACGATGCGAATTAACCTAATCTATCAAAGTTTATTTTTCAGATTTATGGGGCCGAGTGTTAAGAAAATTATAATATAAAATAAATATTTATTTGGAATTATAATATTACTTCCTAGTACTTACCTATCATACCACATTGTCCACGGAGTTTTTAAAGGAATACCAAGTTTTTCAGTGTCTTTAAGAGATGTTACAGATGAAGGAGAAAGTTTTGGAGTCGATATTAAACCTAATTCATCATTTTGTATTGTTAAAACACTCCCTGCCCCCGGAATTCCAATAGACTTGCTTGCTGTTTTACCAAGATCAGTTGCCATATCTTAGTGTCAAAGCAAGTGGCGATTTCACAGTAGAGAACTGGTACATATAAACAGTCGAAAAGAAACTAACCTTTAAAATCATGAGCGATATTAATTAGATCCAGATTGGTTAGGATTCAATACAAAATGAGTTTTTTATTGGTAATTATCGCCGCATAATGTTCAACGCAACATGTCAGACTTGGTTTCACACTTACTGTTTAGGTTTTGACAGAATAGCGTCTTCAACGTAGTTTGGGATCATCCGCATTGTTTCAAGTGCGTTTTTGTTTAGTTTTCACTACTATTTTTTACTGCTATTTTTAATATAAATTTTTTTTCAAAGCAATTTTCAAGCAATCTTTTCATAACTTAACTTTTTGTTTAGCAACTTTTATTTAGAATGCTAACTTTAAATATTTTTATATGTAAAATACTAAATTTTATATAAGCCTCTTATTCTGGGGAAGTTACAAACATTACATTCTCATTACATTCAAACGCTAAAAGATTATTAAATAAAGTTTTCATCTTGTTGATGAATAAAATACTTTAACTACTTAGAGTCTTTCCATCAGGGTAATGACACTCTGCAGGTTATTTTTGTTGACAGCCTATTTACTAAAATTTTTTGCAAAGTACTCTCAGTTGACTTAATATTTTTTTATTATTACAATTATATTTTGCCTTGATATTAATATACAAATTTACTCGGAAGTTTGCTAAAAGTTATTTCACATACCAAATAAAGCTATTGTCGACCCTAATATACATTGACTGACAAAAGGAAAGAGCAAGTATAAAGAAACATTGACAAATATTAAGTATTTTTTTTGTGAGCCCGTTTCTTCAAAATTGAACTTCCTTTTATGCAATTTTTTACCTAAAAGGTGAACAAGCAAAATTGAATTAGAAGTTTATAATAATTATAATTGAATAAAAAAATATTAATATCAAGGCAAAATATAACTGTAATAACAAAAAAATATTATAGCGATAATGAATTATAAACTCCTATTACTGCCTACTTTAATAAGTTAAAAGTTAAATTCCTTGATTAGTTTCAATAATTAGTTTTTTCTATCAGTTTTAGGGCTTCTCAAACGCGATCCCGGTAGTGAAAAATCATCCCATTATCCCGGGATTTCAATAAATATCCCGGTAATTAAATATTTTCTTTTACCATTTTTAACGATATTAAAAATATTATTACTTGAAATTTGAGTATTATTTATTTCTTTTTCCCTCTTTTAACGAATTTCGATAAAGGTTAGGAAAATAGAGTATAGGTTTTATTTAAACCACCAATACTTTACAGGTTTGGTTTGAGTCCCAGATAGTTTAAATATTATTATTGAGTTTGATCTAAAAATTTATTTATGCAAATTTTATATGTTGTAATTTACAACATATAAAATTTAATTATTACATGATGTAAGTCACAACATTAAAGTATTATTAAATTAATCCAAAGAATGTAAAAATGAAGGCAAAGATTTCATAGATATTAAATGGGCAAAAAAAAAACCCGTTTTTACTAAGTCTGCTTTCAATAAAGATTGTTTATATATAAAATTAAAGAATTCAAAAAATATCATTGAAAAAGGAACTGAAAGATAACATCATTAAAAAAGCAGCAAAAGTAACACCTTAGTTATAATGGATTCAACATACTATAAAGACAAACTAGTTAATCAAGATCACCTATTTTCTTTAACAACATATGAAAAAACAAATATTGACTCTGACAAAAATGTTTTCAAAAATCTTTTAATAAAGATTGCGACACATAAGTATTTTGTTATGTGTCGAAATCATTATATATACAATACGAAATTTATTACATCAATTTATTACTAATTTCGAATGGAACTCTAGTACTTATTATGTTATCCCTAAAATTAATAAATGCAATGAAATTATTAAAAAGTTTCAAGAATCTAGTTTTCTATTTATCGAAATGAAACCACTAAAAGATTTAAAAGTTTGGCCCATTATAACATTATTACTTCTTCACATAATCCTATCTCCAATTGTAAAGAAACAAAAGACTTTTGTAAAAGATGAATGGGTTTTTTTTAGAAAATGTCCTAGAATAATGGATTCAGATAGTGTTATACTAACTTGTGACATTGTAAATCTCTACGCAAGCATTCTACATAATCTTGGTTTACATTAAAATTCTGGTTTGAAAAACATAAAAATCTAACAGCCGAAAGATTTACTACCGTAAGACGGAGTTACTTTGGCCTGCGGGGTTACTTTGGTCATTTTTAAAAAATTTAATTAAGCATCTGTAAATTTTAAACAGTAATGTAACGTTTTACTATTTTAAATATTAAAAGGTTACGGTACTGATTTTACCATAGATTCAGCTTCGTTCATTCTTAAAAACAACAGTTTTAACTTTGACGATCAATTATTTTGCCAAATTACAGGAACAGCCATGGGCACAGATTTTGCACCAGGCTATGCTTATCTTACAATCGGCTTTTGAGAAAAAACAATGCTTTTTTTGAAAACTTTATTAAAATATTTTTTAAAAGAACAAATGTTGATGATGGTTTCTACATATTGCCAAAATGTCTAAATGTTGCTATGTTCCAAATGCCCCTTAATTAACTTTGCAACTGGTTTTGGCATCAAATTCAAAGAGAACAAAAAAGTATATGATGCCATTAATTTTATAGACTTGTCGGTTATCCTTGAAAACAACAAATACATTAAACGGATACTTTTTATAAAGAAACAAATACTCATGATTATTTAAACTTTAACAGTCATCATCCGTATCATATAAAAAAGAACATATTTTATAACCATGCTTAAAGAATAATTGTTTTTACGTCTAATTATGCTACAGAAAAACTACGTCTAGCGAAATATAAAATATGGTTAAAAGAGTGTCATTACCCTGATTATGTAATAGCAAAAGCATTTCATAATGCAAAATTACAAGGACCAGCACCAATGAAACAATTAAAAGAAGTTTTACCTTTGAAGTCAACTTTCTATAGTAATTTAAGTTGTCAATCTATTTTAATTGAAGCTAACCTTTTACTTGGATAATGAAAGATTAAAAAAAGGTTTATCAAGTATTCAACCAGTAATTGTCTATAAACAGTCTCCAAACTTAGTGAGACAAATAACGTGCTCAAAATTTCACTCTACGTCATCTGTCAAGAAAATCGGGCTACTTAAATGCAAAAGCAATCGATGTAAAATCTGCCGGACATATTAACAACAAGTAGATAAATTTGAGACATCCAATGGGACTTTTTGAAACATTAAAAGTCACATTACATGTAATAGCAAAAATGCCATACTTTTTAATTTAAAATGTATATCATGTAATGGACTATCTACTTATACTGGAAAAACAAATATTTAAAGAAACTGCATAAATGGTCATATTTCCAATTGCAAAACTTGCAATTCAACAGATAGATTCAACAATCATCCCGGTAGGAAATGAGCTAGCGACTAGCGAGCGACTAGCTAGCTTTATAGCGTTAAGTTTATAGCTTTCAAGCAATTTTTTTTTCTTATTTTATTTTTTACTAATTTCTATAAACATCTTTAAAAATTCAGTTTTTAGTGTTGAGTCTATTATAATTATGAGAATAACTAAACTTTAAACATTGCGATTTTGTAGCAATGTGTCGCTAGCTACATATCGTAGCTTTGTAGCTAGCTACAAAATTTCTACAAACCTATAGTTGGTTGATAGCTAGGTACTAAAATTTTTCTAATAGCGATTTTATTACGATATAACTGTAGCTACAATAGCCTGTGAGTCTTTAGCTTATTAAGCTAGCTGTCCTCGTAGTCAAATCGCTATCTTTATCTTTACAAATATCGATAGCTTTTCGCTAACTTTAAAAAGCTAGCGATCCTCGTAGCCAAATCGATGTCTTTATCGTAACGAGAATAGCTAGCTAATCGCTAGCCGATTTCCCATTGGGATGTATATGATTGCAAAAAAATACACAATAAAACTACGAAGCCATTCTTTCAGCTTTTTATTTTTCTTGAACTAAAAAATGATAATAATTTATTGACTTATGAAAATAATCTTCATAAATAAAAACACGACACCTTCAACAAATACTTCCTCTTATAATAACATAACATTGGTAACTCAGAGTTACAAAACTGCAATTAAATATTCCTATTATATAGTTTTTTATAGGAATCATAAATTATTAATTTTCAAGTATTTTAATTTCCTCTTAACACTTTTACATACAAAAATTTATATTAATAAATATATTTATTTCATTTAAGAAAAGAAAAGCTAAATCATATTTGTTTAGAAATTTTATCCACCATTTGTAAAAAGGTTAGATATCTAGTTTATATATAACATATCATTGGAATCATGATGACAATTGGTACGTCACGACTTTTGGAAACCTATGTTTCAATATTTGAATAAAAAAACAACTGTTCTTTTATATTTATATTATACTTGATAACGAGAGTATCTACACTCCCTTGAAATATTGTAATAAAAATCAATTTAAAAATAAAGAGTTACATATATAATAAAAGTTTTTATTTAATTATATAAATTAAACTCTTCAAAGATGTCTTTTTAAATATATGTTTAAATGAGAAATTCAAAATATTGTTTTACAAAGAAGACAAGCTGCTAAACAAGCAGGGTGATTTAATTTCTAAATGTAGGCACAAAAATAAATTTATACTTTCATTATTTGATAGCGGAGGTTAGTTTTTCCATAACGTCTTCTAGTATTATAAACGTCAGAACTCAATTTTTTCAATGACGTTTCTTGTAGTATTTGATAATTTATTTATTTAATAAATAAAACAAAAAGCTAAGTACAGCTAAGTACTAACTTTTAATTTATTTATGTAATATTTTAGTCTGATTAGCTCAAACCGTCGTCAGACGTAAAATAAAGTACATTAAGAATCTCACAAAAAATCATCATCGCAAATGGAGGAAGCATTTTTTAACGGTGAAAAGGTGAAAAATAGATAAAAGAGCAAAAGGAAAACAAATAAAAAATTGTTTAAAATAGAAGATTTGAAAAATAAAATAATAGAAATAAAGT